ACTTGTTCTTTTAAATAATGCAGTGTTTCCCCTACATTATTATGTGATTATATTCAGAATGCTATTGCCAGAAAGTCATACAATGGTTTGTACAAATAAATAATTAAGTATTATCAGGTTCTAAATAGTACTTTAATCCAGTAATCTAGATAATCCAAGTTCCCTTGTTGGGCATGACAGAAAATAATTGAGAACCACTGCTCTAAAGAAACCCCAACACATCAAAGAGAAAAAAAGGTGATTCAGCCACATTTTTAATGACTTTTATTATTTATTATTTATTTTGTTTTATGTGAGGATTGGACAAAATCCTCCTGAAACCTCATCTTATTTGTAATAACAATGATACACAATCTATTTTATGTTCCACTGATTTGATCTTTTAAAGATGAAAAAAAAATTGGTGATTCAGTTTCACTGTATTCAAACATCCAAAAACACAGACTCACGGCTCTTTGTCGACAACGTTTTATCAGTTTATTTTAGGTTCTTTTATATCACATTTGTAATTCTTTTTTTGTTATTGTCTTCATAGTGTATATTATCAAAATGTATATGTTTTCTATGATGCTGAAATGCATTTTCTGCACTTCATCAGTGGAAGAAATGACATTTTATTTTCTTAACATCAGAACAACAGGCATTGTACTGTAGATGTGAGGCTTCACATTTATTAAGGTTATGTTTTTGTGCATTTTGGCTCGAAAGAATCTGCTCAGAAAACCTCTAAACCCTGAACAAGGTTGCTGGTGACCCCTGGTTTAGACTCTGTATTTAAATGTTTGTTGCTTATGCTTTCAGGGGACAGTGTGTGGACAGCCATGTCCAGATGGACGATTTGGACAAAACTGTTCTCAGGAATGTCAATGTCACAATAATGGCTTTTGTTTGGCATCGACTGGACAATGTCTCTGTAGCCCCGGATACACTGGAGATCGGTAAGATTTTTTTTTGTCTTTTATTTACTAAATGCATACCTGGTAATAGTTTATTTATGTCTCTGTAGTAGTAGTAGTAGTAGTAGTAGTAGTAGTAGTAGTAGTAGTAGTAGTAGTAGTAGTAGTAGTAGTAGTAGTAGTAATAATAATAATAATAATAATAATAATAATAATAATAATAATAATAATAATAATAAACAGTTGAAGTGACAGGTGGGGCTTAGTCGAGTAATGTTTAACTCTTTTTNAGTAGTAGTAGTAGTAGTAGTAGTAGTAGTAGTAGTAGTAGTAGTAGTAGTAATAATAATAATAATAATAATAATAATAATAATAATAATAATAAACAGTTGAAGTGACAGGTGGGGCTTAGTCGAGTAATGTTTAACTCTTTTTAACTCTATAGTTTATTTTGTACATGAATGATTTTGTCAGTATGTCAAACCTTTTAAAAAAGTATTTTGTTTGCTGATGACACCACATTTTTATTCTGGTGATAATATTTAACAGATGTAGGAGATCATACAAACAGAAGTCAGGACAATACAAACAGGGTTTCATCTAAATAAGTTATTGTTGAATTTTTAACAAAACAAACTACACAGTATTTAGTAACAGAAAAAATATATATTTAAGCCCCATTCAGAATTAATGGTATTGAAATTCATAGTCAGTGAAAAAAAAGTTTTCTTACAAGTTATGTATAAGGCTCATAAATTTATTACATGTAAAAATTCAGTTAAAATTTGTTAAAACAGAAAGTCAATATAACCTTAAGGAAATAGAGATTTTTAAAAAAAACTTCCATTCAAACTAGTTCAGAGGAACACTGTATGTAACTCAAGGAATATGTTGATAGAATAATCTTGATATTCATATTAAAACTTCCAGAACGATTTATATGTTCAAAAAGATAATAAAAGCTCGTTTTTTGAAAAGATATGGTGCCAAGTATCAACATAAAGTGTTATTCAAACAAGACGGGATGGACCTGATGCTGTTTTTGTTTCAAAGTTTTAGTCTGTGAAACGACTGTATTATTATTACTTAAGTTTCCTGAAGTATTTCCTTTATAACTTGAGTTTTTTTTATTATTGTACTGTATATATAGATTTTTCTTTTGTTTGTTTTAATGAATGAATAAAACAAAACAAAACAAATGAAAGTTTCCCATTTCATTACAAGACATCACAGAGCCATAGCCATAAGCATTTTTTCTCATTTGCTGCCGGCTCACTGTCAAATTAAACTAACACTCGTGTCTTTGGTCATTTGAACCTTCTGAGACAAAATCCAAATCAAGTAATTAGTTTCTACTCAAGAGAGAGGACAGAAAATCCCCCCCAAAAAACTCTCATTAGTGTTTTCTCACACCAATTTCAGCTGATTGCTGCACAATGCTTTTGAACCACATAATTATCAGCATCAGTATGTGTACCATGTAATTAGATACACCAGTGACTAGACAGAAATAGCTCTCTAAGTGCAGTTTTATGAGTAAATAAGGGTTTGAAGTAAACCAAACATCACAGTAATGCATTGAGTTGAACATAACACACCCAAACCCATGAAACACGTACAATTCTGCAATATACTGTAGGAGAAATGAAGGTGTTCCAAGTGTAAATGAAAATAATCTATTACTCTTTTTATGTTTTCATATAAACTTATTGAACTGGTTCTCTTGTTTGTATAATCTCTGTTTAAAGGATGACTTTTATTTGAAACTGGCTGCAGCGCATTGATTATGGGTTTTAAAAGTTATCACCAGTGTATACAAACATCTGATTTTTGTTCCGGCATTTCCAGATCTGTCACTTCGTATTAAGTTTATTCATTGCTCGGATTTCTGAATTTCCTCTCTGCAGTGGTTCTTTCTTTCTGGTCTGTGTGCGTCACATAATCTGTAATATTATCTGTAAAATAATGAACTAAAGGCAAACCCCTTAACTAATGTTTTCCTATAGTTTTCAAATTGTCATTTTACAACAGCATCATAGAATTTCTCTTTTGAATTTTAGTTTTGGTGTGCCACCCGTGGTTTTTCAATGCCCCTTTCCCCCAATGGTACCACTGCTGCACAGGTGCTCTTCTCTGACAGAAAACATCTGAGACAGTTGTCCATGTTAAAAACACTAAAGATAATTAATAATCTTGAAAAACAGGTGCACATCTGCCTATCTTCATTTCAAAAGATAATTTAAGAAAATTTAATAACAAAGCACTATTTATACTATCCATCCATCCATCCATCCATCCATCCATCCATTTTCTGTACACGCTTCTTCCTTTTCAGGGTTGCGTGGTAT